AGACACAGTTTCCATGTTAAAAATGAGCCGCCTTCAATAGAAAGTTAACGTGTGTTACTGGCGAGGCTCAGCTCCTGTCCCCTTACCCCAACCACTGTGGCTCCCACTGTAGCCAGGTACAAGACTTATGTCCATCTGTCCGAAAGTTTGGCGTTAGTTTCTGCAACAATTTAAAAAAATTGACGTCAACTTCTAGACTGACTAGACTAAAATGGGTATTGGGAAGTGGCAGGGAAGTAGATGAGGCCAGTTTGTTGCTGACGACATAAAAAAACCAAGAACCAACCCCTCTTTAAAAAAATATGAGACAAGCACCAACTGCTGCTTTGCGCTAAAGAGGTGAAAATGATACTCTAATTTGTTTGGTGGTAAAGAATCTGTGTTTAGCGTCAACGAATCAACAGTATTTCATCATCATATAGCAGATCCGTTGCAGAACGTGGAACTCATCACAGTCTGTTTGACCACACACACAAAAGTCAGTCTCTAGCCAGTCCTGCCGTCTGTTGTACTTTCATATCCAAGAAGTCACTTATATCCTGTGCCCATCTGTGTGTTGGTCGGCCGCTGCCCCTTCTTTCTGGTACCATGCTTTCTGCTATTATTATTTTAATTTTGTTTCCTTGAAATCCGATATGGCGCTTGATATGGCTAAAATATTTTAGCTTCAGAGACTAGATGCTGTCTATTAGCCAATATTTCTTGATGTTAACATTTTTAAGAATGTCAGTATTTCTTTTATTCGACTTGTTTACTAAAGTTAAAAAAGAGAATATGATCAGTTATATACACGTAAAGAAAGAACTTGACAATAGTCTTCCACGTGTATTATGTCCATTATTTCTCTTTAAAGAAACTTTCTGTGGCTGCTGGTACCAATGCATTCTTGTTAGATGGCCAAACCATCTTATATATTGCCTTTTGGTGAACTATATGTCTTGCCATTTCTATTATGACTCTTCTAACTTCTTCATTATATATATATATATATATATATATATATATATATATATATATATATATATATATATATATATAATGTGTGTGTGTGTGAACTATATGTCTTGCCATTTTTATTATGACTCTTCTAACTTCTTCATTATATATATATATATATATATATATATATATATATATATATATATATATATATATATAAATAATGTGTGTGTGTGTGTGTACCATTATGTATATATATATTATATGTATATATATATATATATAATTATATATACATAAAAATATCTACCACTATATATATATATATATATATATATATATATATATATATATATATATATATATATATATATATATATATATATATATATATATATATTTGTTAATCCGTATTTAATTGACAACATCAGAAATCACAGAGGAAGATGACATGCAAATTTAAAGTGCAAAAGAAAAAGCAACCATAAAACTTAAAAAAAATATCCATTACACGAAATATCACAATTACAATCCATTATGTTGGGGCAATTACATATTACATATTTACACGAACAACTGTACAGTTTAAAAGAAAAACATCTAACATTTCATTCTTGACGCCAGCTAGCATAAAGATCTTCCTTCTACGCTACACATTTTTTTTTTACAATTAAGATGAGGGACGAGACCAAAAATGGTGGGGTGTGGGGGTGGGGGTGACAAGGTCAAACAGAATGTTATGTGAGTGTATAAGTCTACTAAAAAGGCTTTGAATACCCAAAAATGCTTATATTTTGCTCAGGGTGACAACAAAATGGAATCTCTGTAATTATACTGCCGACAGTCTTCGACGCGGAGGTGACACTTGCTGCAATAAATTGATAATGTTACATTTACACACAAGAATACCCAAAAAATCACTTAACAGGTCTCTTTGAGAAAACACGCCTGTCTGTCTGGTCAGTTGAAGCTCCGAGGCACGTGTGAATGCCAGAAATGAATACTAGCCAGAAAAAAAATGTCGGATCCAAGGGTGGTAACTAAAAAAGATAAAGCTGTGTTGGACGTTAAGTCCATCAGGCGAGATGGACATGCTGGTTCACTTATATGTAGTATTATGATGAGAAACCTATATAGGGTGTTCATGCTTAATGATTGTTTACTTAGGCCAGTGGTCTCCAACCTCTGTCAGGTAGCGTCCCCCCCCCCCCCACCACTTTGAGCGTATGACAAGACCACCCCCCCCCCCCCCTCGCATAGCGATATATGCTTAAAAATAGGAGGGCCAAAAAATTAAGAATTGTTAATAGAAACTTGAAAAAATGTATAAATCAAAAAACATAAGACACGACTGCCAAAAAAGTGGTAATTTAATGTCAAAATATCGATGATGGTTGCTGCTATTGTTGGTCTGACGTTGGACAAGGCACAATGGAAATCACTCTCCACATCAGAAGCGCTGTTTCGTCTTTATGTCTGTTGAAACTAAAATCCTGATCATTACAAGCATCAAGGCACTAAGTTTGAAAACTGTTTGACGCCCCTCTACCACTAAAACTTCCTGACGCCCCCTAGCAACCACCTAGTCGCCCCCTAGCCACCCCAGCCACCCCCTAGCCACACCTAGCCACCCCAAGCCATCCCTTAGTCGGCCCCAAGCTACCCCTAGCCACCCCAAGCCGCCCCCTAGCCACCCCAAGCCGCACCTAGCCACCCTCTAGCCACCCCAAGCCACACCCTAGCTACCCCCTAGCCACACCTAGCCACCCCCTAGCCCCCCTAGCCACCCCAAGCCACACCTAGCCACCCCCAAGCCACACCTAGCCACCCCAAAGCCACACCAAGCCACCCCCAAGCCACACCTAGCCACCCCCAAGCCACACCAAGCCACACCTAGCCCCCCCCCCCAAGCCACACCTAGCCCCCCCCAAGCCACACCTAGCCCCCCCCCCCAAGCCACACCTAGCCAACCCCAAGCCACACCAAGCCACACCTAGCCCCCCCCCCCCCAAGCCACACCTAGCCACCCCCAAGCCACACCAAGCCACACCTAGCCCCCCCCCCCCAAGCCACACCTAGCCACCCCAAAGCCACACCTAGCCACCCCCTAGCCACCCCAAAGCCACACCTAGCCACCCGTTAGCCACCCCCAAGCCACACCTAGCCACCCCAAGCCCTACCTATCCGCCCACTAGCCACCCCCTAACCACCGGCTAGCCACCCCTAGCCGCCTCCCTCCCCTGGCTGAAGACCACAGATTTAGGCAAAGTGAGATGGTGTTTACAGCATGTAATAATTTTGGGAGTCTCCGTGGTGTTGGCTAAACGCCCCCCCCCCCCCCCGCCATGAGGATCTGAAGGTTGTAGGTTCGCGTCCTGATGAAGGCAGATTGGAAAAATGACCCTGACTCCCAGGTCGAACCAGCTCTAAGTGGGTACCATATGCAGTCCTGTGAAGTAAGGGCGGCCAGCGTAAATCTGATCACATCATCCACCAAGTGCCGACTGGTCTAAAAAAAAAAAAAAATTCTCGTAGCCCTATATTTCCAAAACGCCCAAAGAGACATGTACTATCTAATAACTTGGGGGACTGTCAGCTTACAGTGTGTCAATGTTTTCCAAGCCTACTTACACAAAGATCACACTGGGGAGTGGAAGTTATGGCGACTGAGAGATGGATTTGGGTGTTGGGGGGGGGGGGCGGGGGAGGGGCTAGTGTGCGCACACCTTACAAGATGTTCAGGTGCCAGGGGGACTGGGGGGGGGGGGGGGGGGGGGGGGGGGGGGGTGTACTTAACAAAAAAAAAACAAAAAAAAAATTTTTCTCTTCCTCTTGTTCATTATTATCATATTTTCTTCTTCTTCTTCTTCTTCTTATTATTATTATAATTATTATTATTATTATTCTTTTTCTCCTTCTCCCCCTTCTCCTCTCCTCCTCCTCCTCCTCTTCTTCTTCTTCTTCTTCTTTGTCTTCGCATTTTCAGGCTGCAGACACAGGCGGAAAGTTCTTGTTGTTATCTGCTTCTCGACTTAGGTCCTCTTTTAGTACGTGACCTTCGCGTGCACATCCGTTTTACAGTTACTCCTAGATTAGGAGCGTAATAATAATACTGTACTGAATGGCAAGTAAATATTATATTTGAAATAATATAAAATGGGCATACAAATAATTAAAAAGGGATCTTCTGCGACGTTTGATGCACTGATGGTTTGACACAAACAACAGGCAGACAAGCTTAGAATCATCCGTTGGCAACAGAAAAATGGTTTTCTAGGAAACGCAAGTATGGATAGAAAAAGATGCAAGTATGGATAGAAAAAGATGCAAGTATGGATAGAAAAAGGATCAATCGAGGCGGTGCTCCAAGAAAATTGATTAAAACCTTCAACTCATTAGAGAAGTTTTGTGTACACTGTCAAGACTTTAGGACAATATTATGAGGACAAATGACTCGAAACCCGTTGACAACTGGAGGACGTTATGTAAAAAAAAAAAAAAGGTAAAAGATAACGAGAAAAATGTGAAGAAAGATGCTGAGAATAGCATGGACCCGGAAGAAAAGAAATACTGACAGCCTGAAAGACATGAGCATCTTGACTCGGAAACTGAAACAGTGTGGCTTCATCAAGCGACACTGCGGATTGAACAGAATAGCTGTAGAAGGCATAGTGACAGGAAGCAGACGGGCAGGGGCGGACCAGAACGATGAGGAAAAGAAGATATAAGTGAGACCCTGGGTAGAAAATTGTACGAGGTCGGAGATATGGTTAAAAACCGAGTTTGTTTCAGGCAGGCTGCATTGAGATCGACGGTCGGCAAAGGCCCTAGAAACACGATGATGACGATAATGACAGTCACTTTGATGGTTTGACTATACGACATAAACTGGGTGAAAAACACAGCCCAGTTTCATGATCATTTGAGATGGCAAACTATGACTGCCTACGTCTTTTCGCATGATACATGATGATGATTGACTTTGAGCTAAATTTATAGTATTCAATTAATACAGTAATCATTCATAAGAATTATACAAATGGCTATTGTCGAGGCTTATTTCAACAATAAAAGTTGTCCTGAGAGTTTGCTTGCGTTGAAGGGCCTTCGAGTTCACTAGAATTAATTTCTTGTGATACAGAACAGGAATTTCCATTCCGACCTTCACGACACATGTCTAGATCACGTTTGGAGTTTGTCAAAATAGCTGTCGTTTCCATGGTTTCAAAACTGTTAGGGTTTTTAACGCCACTGTCGTCTGTTAGTGACGCAGGGTCTGATTCAACGGTACGGTTGTTACTTCGAAGAGCGCCATTGATTGAACTACTTTGTAAGGTTGTGGTGACAGTATTCAAAGGCAACCTTTCCGCTTTCTCATCAGCGTCGTCTGCTGCTTTTTTATAACAGGACATGCCGCGAAGGGCAGAACACTGTGTTTCCGTGGGCTCACATGTGTCGAAGTCTGCGTCGGTGTATTGAGTCATACGAAAACTCGCTTGCGACGGTCTTCGACTCTTGCTGCAGATGTGTCTGAAGACACGAAGCAATACGCGTCGAAACTTGCGCCCAAAAGCAGTGTAAATGAGAAAATTAACGGCCGAGTTTAAAGTAAATAGAAGATTACTGAAAGTTAAATAATAGATGAATATATCCACAGGAATTAAATCGAACTGCGAGACCAAACCGGGAGTTTGACAGCAGATGAAAACTATGACGATGAGAACAAGCACAAGACTGAGGTTGGCTTCGTTCTCGTCATGGATGTTGGTGCCTGATCGTTTTCGTTGCATCACCATGAGCTCTTTGATGAGGAAGAAGTTAAGTATCACCAAGGCGGTTAAGGGGATGATGTAGATGATGATGCTGTACATCACAGTCCGGTACTTCAGGTACATGAAGGTCTGCCCAAACTCCGTAGTTGCCAGCTCTAGACATTGATGAGGTGGTGAAGCTTTCTGTGTTGTCGTCAACATTATCAGAGGTCGGGCGGAAGTGGTGGTAGCGTTGGATCCAAGAATATTTACACTGTTGATCATAACTGTGGCCTTGACGTCGGCAGGCGCCGTTGGAGCATGGGAGTTACCACAGGGGCTGACTCTTGTGGCGAATATATGAGGGATGTTGTAGATAAGAGAGATAATTATTACTGATATTAGGACAATGATGGTTTTGCGACGCGTGATGAGTCGTGCCGCACGGAAGGGATGGCATATGGCGATGTATCGTTCCACCGACACGGAGACAGTAATCCATACATTACACTGTTGAAGCGCCATCATGATATAGTATCCAGGTGTGTGAATAACTGGATAAATGACGTCCTTGAAATAATTAGAACCTTCCTCTTGTAGATAGTTAGCACAGCTGTGGGTGAAAATAGAAAAAAATAAATTTCTATAATGAGAAAGCGAAAGTGTTAAATAAATGTTAAATAAGGTTCAGAATTTCATCTTACTCTTTTTCTTCTTCTTCTTTTCTTTTTCTTCTTCTTTTCTTTTTCTTCTTTCTCTTTTTCTTCTTCTTCTTCTTCTTCTTCTTCTTCTTCTTCTTCTTCTTCTTCTTTCTTTCTTCTTCTCTCTCTTCTTCTTCTTCTTCTTCTTTCTTCTTCTTATTCTTCTTCTTCTTCTTCCTTCTTTCTTATCGTTTCTTCTTCTTCTCTTTTTCTTCTTCTTCTTCTTCTTCTTCTTCTTCTTCTTCTTCTTCTTCTTCTTTCTTCTTCTTCTTCTTCTTCTTCTTCTTCTTCTCTTCTTCTTCTTCTTCTTCTTCTTCTTCTTTCTTCTTCTTCTTCTGTTCTTCTTCTTTTTCTTCTTCCTTCCTTCTTTTTCTTCTTCTTTTTTTTCTTCTTCTTCTTCTTCTTCTTCTTCTTCTTCTTCTTCTTCTTCTTCTTCTTCTTCTCTTCTTCTTCTTCTTCTTCTTCTTCTTCTTCTTCTTCTTCTTCTTCTTCTTCTACTTCTAGCCAGGCAGACATCTATTTGGATAAATACTTAGGCGTATAAGTATGCAGATTTTACAACAGGGGCAGGTAATTGTGTATCCTTTACAGGACGTTGCAGAACCAACCCCAGCATTTTTGGCTGTTGTGGTTTGCCTAATGGTAAAATATGTATTTCTTCTTCCTTGTCGCGTTCACCAGCTGTAAACTCTGGTGGACAGTTCTGGTTGTTCATCCACTTCTGGACCGCATTCCTGTTCCAGAACCTGAGTGTTGCGTGTGCATCCGTTTTACAAATCTGACTTATCTGTATGCAGACTGCTGGTTCCGTGCATCTCAGGCAGATGCACTCCGACTTTAAAAGAAGTTCCAAATTAGTCGACTCTTACGACATGCTTTTGGGTAGGCAGTGGGTCTATTCTTGTTTTCCCTATAATAGGGCCCTGGAACACGTAGGCGGAAAATATGTTTTTAAGAATGTAGATATCCAGGTGCGTGTAAATGTAGACAGGTCGGAGAAAGATTGAAAGACTTTTTATATATTGACCGGCAAGCACATCTATATAAAGTATATTATATTAGCACTTCAAAAGCAATTTGATGATATCACAAATGTAACAATAGCATTAGAAACACACTGAGCTATAAATAAAAAAAATCGATTAAAACCAGGCTGTTCGCTTTACAGTAAATATCAGGTTGATCTCACGCAATTTATGGTCCAAGGGTAAACACGACACAGCTCGCCTTTGTGATAAATAAGAGTGTTTGTTATTGTGTGTTTCTCTCCGTGTGGGTTTCGGGCCCCATTTAGGGGGGGGGGGGGGGGGACCTATTGCTTACCCAAAAGCATATCATAAGAGTCGACTAATTAGGTGCTTTCTTCTAAGTTGAAGTGCATCTACCTGACCTGAGAAGTAAGGAACCAGCAGTCTGCACACCAATGAGTGCGATCTAAAAGTGGATGAACAACCAGAATTTTCCACCAAAGTTTACAGTTGGTGAACGCGAAGAAGAAGAAAGATAGTGTTTTTCATAAATCATACCCTAACACTTCAACAAAAATCTCAAAAACTCCTTTACGGATCAGCACGAATGTTTGCATGTGGCATTACACCTCCCGTGGTTTTATAATTTACAATTGCACAGGTGCTGCTGTTTTCTCAAAGCGACAATTTTCTTTCATCTTTGTTGGACTAGTATGTTGGTACCCCTAGGAGTAGACTGTACAGTAATTAACAGACGGATGTAGATTGTTTGGAAAACAGTTTAGATTTACGGCCATGCATGGTGAATAGTTTGATAGCCCATCCCGCATACAATAAATAATTGTGTTCATATAACTCACGGGAGGCTAATGCTGGATGACCATCTGAGGGTGAAACGGTAATGACGCAAGCAATGGTACACGTCATGTTTTGAAGCGCGTAGCAAGGTTTGGTATGTACGGTCCCACCTAAAAATGGAAAATGCCTGCGCGTAGCACATAGCCTATGCCAATCAAGTCAACCGTACCTACACGTGGTGCTACTTGTTGTAACAGTCACGGCTCTGGCGCACAGCAAGTCTCCATATAATAATGAGAATAACTCTACAAGAGAGCATGTACAGCAGAGTCCACCGATCATCAGTAGAAGATCCCTCGTTGACAATTGTTTTAGCTCATTACCTCCTAGACAACTTCAGAGGGGAGCCGACCTGTGTCATGACTCCCAAGCCTCGATCTTCTCCTGCTTCACTTTTTTTGGACTCTCAAACGGGTCAAAACGAATTGGTGACTATGCAACGGGTACTGTGGGATTCGAAGATTATATATATATATATATATATATATATATATATATATATATATATATATATATATATATCGCTGCTGTAGCCAATTAGACCAGCCGGCTACCTTAACGACCAAGTGACAAGTTCACCTGACACATGTTAGACTTTGGTAACGGACAGAATGACACTAGCAGACATCTATCGGACACACTGGCTTTTGAGGGAATAGAAGCTCCGTTTCTCCAGGGACTCGGACCCGTCTACCCATCCCCCACGACGTTCTTTTGCGTCCAAAGCCAGCTCGAAGCTATTTTAGCAGTCTCGCCCAGATGTTTTAGTGACCGTTTACGCTCGGAGAAGGGAAACTTCCACAACCTCTGATTTCTGGCAGGCAGTGTTTGGATGAACCAGGACACAGATAGGGAGATTCCGTAACTTCCCCCACCGAAGACCGACATGACGGCCTGAATGGCGTGGGCACTAAGAAATGGAAACGGACATCAACTCAATCTACGGGTAATAAGTGTGCTTAAAAACATACACCGTTATGTTGGACCAAGGAATTCCAGAGAAATTTGACTAAAAAGCTCAACAAAATGGGCAAGCAGAAAAACGTGAACAAAACAACACCACGTAACGTTTCGGCCAGGCAGCCTTTTTCAAACACAAGTGAACTACACAAACGTAACAACGAGGAGAGGAGAGTATGAAGATCTCTAAGTGGTAACGTGAGCAACGTTTTGAAAAATGTGATGTGGAATAAATGAAATAAAATAAACGATGGCTAAAAAATATAGCTACAAAAACAAATAATAAACAGTTGTATTGTTAATCTATAATATAATACTGAGAATAAAAGAAATACAAATGTTAATGATACATAAATGATACTGATAAGAAATAGAATAAAGTAATAATATGAAAGAAAAGAAAAGAAAAGAAATAACATGTGAAATGTGATAACAGTAGAACTATTTAGATGAAGGTGTGCTGGATATTGATACCACCTGGACTAAGAACGCCTAGGCTGTGGATGAGGCGATTTTCCAAAAAGCAAGATTGTAATGCTGTGACAGTATGTAGGAGTTGAATATACAGTACTTGACAGACGTATGGAGATTGTTTAGAAAGCATTTTAGATTTACAGCCATGCAGGGTGATTATTTTGATAGCCTATTCCGCATACTATAAGTAATTGTGTTCATATAACTCATGGGAAGTAATGCTGCATATCACCATCTAAGGATGAAACGCTGATGACGCAAGCAGTGTTACACGTGATGTTGTGAAGCGACTTTCTCTGTAAGAAGCTGCTAAACTATTAACTTATACAATATAAATATACCTTACAGTATGATTTCAAACACGTCTTCATTGTGCTTGGAGTATTACCCCTTCCACACTAGATCTTATCCACTTCTTAAGGACAGTCCAGAATCCATCTTAACAAGTTCTTAACAACCGTCCATTTGTGTGTGCTTCCGTTTTGGGACAAAGAAGACGAAGTACACCGATATCCTACATGGTCAAGCACCGAGAAGAACTGGCTCATAAACAGCATGCTGTCCCGAGAACTGTGGTATTTTAGCCACGTTAAGCTTTATGGTGGCCTGTAGAGAACAATTATGGAGGGTTTCCGATAAACAAGGCAGAGGGAGACCTCCACAAATGTGGAAACAAGACACTGAAGATGCAGTGGCTATGAAAGCACATAGGGCTGGAGAATTCGATAGAGACAGAGACCTTCGTGCATGCTGTGATGAGAGCGACCTTCTGTGACCTTTTACCTGCTCTTTCACCATTTCCTCACAAGAAAGGAGGTCTTGATGTGCTTTAGACAGACAACTTTCGGTGCTTTGCATGTAACTAAAGTGTGTGTGTGTGTGTGTGTGTGTGTGTGTGTGTGTGTGTGCCTTATACAACATTAGGACCAAACTACGAATCTGCGATTCTTAGGTTATCCCAACAATAACATATACCAACCAAAGTTGGAAAATCAGTAAGGATGTGGAACGAAAATGCATTTAAAAATAAATGTTTAAGACGATCATGAACATAAAATAGAATCAATTTACAAAAGAGAAAGTGAAGAGGTCAGAGAATTGACTAGATAAATACTTGTATCGACTGCGACAAGACACAGAAGGTGGAGATATACTGATACTAAGAGGAAATGAGCAATGAATTACAAAACAAGCAATGAAATAGGAAACAAACAGTCTGGGAAAAAGATAACGTACAATGGAGGCATTGAGAAGAATGTTATTACGAGAAGATTAAAAATACTGAGGTGAATTCCATGTCAGAATTCGAGAAAGTTACATTCAATAGTGCGAAGTGGAGGAATCGAATACCAGACATATGTCACGTATACGCAGCGGGTAATGATGATGATGTGCGTGTGTTGTGTGTGTGTGTGTGTGTATTGTGAGTATGTGTGTGTGTGTACATTTATGGAGAATCTACGAGATCATCGGGTGAGGAGGGGGTGATTCGAACAATCTGGTAACCCCAGTTTGTAATTTTATTATATTTCTATCGAACCCTCGTGTCTTGTCGTCTTCTCTTGCCTGTATCTACGAGAGCCATTCAGTACATGAGAATATGTTTATCATATTACTTACACATTTACTTTGTTTCTGATAAACCGATTTGT